CATCTGGCATCCTTCCTTAAGCCGTTACATTGTTTAGGAAGTCTGTTAGTCAACTTACCCCAAGCTCTCCCAGGGCGTTCCATGCCTCTATCGGTACCCCGTCTGGGCCCACTGCTTTCCCAACTTTTATTCTCCCTAGCTCTCGGCGGACTTCATCTTCAGTCCTGCGCGTGATGGGACCTGCCGTCGCCTCTATCTGTGGGCTATCCTTGCGAGGGAGTTCTTCGTTCATTAGTCCCTCGAAGTCTTCTTCCCATCCCTTTCTGACTTTCTGACTGTCCACGCTGGTTTCCTGAGAATGGCTCCGCTGATGCTCTTCACAGTCTTTACGACCCTGATGTCCTGAGCCGCGCGATGTCGAGCTCAAGCCAGGCGGAAGACGAACTCATCCCCCTCTCGGCCTTCCAGCTTCTCGTACAGTGCGTCCATTTCCGTATTCTTAGCCTTACAACGGCTGATTTGGCGAGTCGCTTGCAGCTCTTGTAGGCAGCGTAGTCTTCTGGGCTCCGTGTCTTTTGCCAGCGTTTATATGCTTCCTTCTTCTGCTTGACGATCCCTGGACTTCCTCGTTCCAGAACCAGGCTGCCTTGTCTCCTCTGATACCACCTTGCGTCTCTCGGCTAGGACTTCCATTGCGCACATGCGGTAGGATGACCTCTGCTGCGTAGGTCCAGGGTGTCCTCGACTGGTCCGTGGGTCTGGGAGCCCAGCCTCCAGTATTCTTCGGCCGAGGCTATCCTTTTCTACCTTGCACATTTTCCACCATCGAATACTTCGCTCTGCTTTCACCCTTGTCTTCTTGGAGAGGTCTATGACGATGTCTGCTAGGAGTGGCCTGTGCTGAGGGCCCAGCTCTTCCCCAGGCAGTACCTTGATATCCTTGACGGTTTTGAGAGACGATCTTCTGACCAGGACATGGTCGATTTCCGTTTGTCTCCCTCCACTGCTGTAGGTTATCTTCTGAGTCCTCCTTTTCGCGAAGAAGGTGCTACAGATTGCTAAGTCGTGAGCTGTGGCTAAGGTCGAAGATCCGTTCTCCCTCAGCGTTCTTTGCCCTCATTCCATGGCTCCCGTGCACCATTTCTACCCCTTCTGTCAGTTCCCACATGGCCATTCAGATCCCCAGCTATGGTGAGGTAGTCATCTTTGGAACCGATCGTATGGCCTCGTCCAGGGTCAGGTATAACTCATCCTTTTTCCGCTTCGGAGCAACCGGATTGTGGTGCGTACACGGTCAGTACGGTCCAGTACCCTTCCTTCGTGTCCATTCTCACTCCCATGATCCGATCACTGATCCTGTTCACAGAAGAGACGCAGTCCTTGAGGGATTCTGCCACCGCTATGGCCACGCCATTCCGTTTGGTGTCTGCTCCATTGTAGAAGAGTTTGACGCCTTCTCCAATCTCGCGGGCCTTCGCACCCTTCCATCGCGTTTCCTGAAGGCATAGGACTTGCATATTCCTTCATCTCAAGAGGTCGGCAACCTCACGAGACTTCCCGGTAAGCGACCCCACGTTTAGGGTCCCAATTCGAACTAGCTTCTTTGGCCGAGGTCGTTCACCCCTCGGTAGCCCTCGCATACTGACCACAGAACTCGGGCGAGGGTTCTGCGCGCCACTTCCGGGTGACGTCCTAGCATTAACACTGATTCTATTGCGACTTGTCATGATTGTTGTGACGGGTTCCTCCATCAGCCGGCCTGTCAACCATGGGCCTGACGCTGGTATCGTCCCCATTTTTGCAATTTTTGCAAGGCAGGTTTGTGCCTCGGCAGGGATTGAACTCGTGGCTCAGGGTGTGAACGTGAGTCTACACTCTTAACCACTCGGCTATCCCTGCCTATGTTCTAGAAGCATACCAAGGTCTTTAAGCGAACTGACACTGGTACTGCGTCGAATGGGGCGGGTTTTTCTTGTACGGAAAATGTTACAACAAGATCATGACGAGGAATTTTTCGGATAGCAGGCCTGAAAAAAAAGTGAAAAAGTTTCTGGGAAGAGGGAATCTTCTTGATTCCGGCATTTTTGTCTGCTTTTATAGCTCTTCAAAGCATAAAACCTCGTAGGTGACCGTAGGTACCTCAAAAGTTTGCAAGGATAGCAACGTTTTTTTTTCATTTTTTTGCATATTCTAAGTGCCAGCACTAGCTAATATTTCAAATATTAATGAATGTAAAAGATAGATCACTATCTAGACAAGAACACACAGAAACACTCGAGGAGAATGCTCCTATACAACAGTGCGCCTTATACTCCACGGAATAGGATAACTCATAGAAGGCTCGAGATGGCTGCGAAAACTGCACCAAAGACGCGAAGGGAGGAGGGCTTCTGGAATGAGCTCGGGCACTTATCTAGTGTAGTATTGTTTGTGTCCAAGCACTGCCCAATAATACGATTACTTGGGGCCTGGCACTTTAAGAAGCAATGGTGGCCTTCTTACAGATGTGTGGTACCAACCGTTTATCGATCTGATTTTCGAGGGACAAGCGACATTCACTGACAGTGTTCGTTTTGTGTTCAGTATAGAGCCGCTTGAAGGCCACAGTACAGGAATCCAATAAAGTAAAAAAATCCGCTCGGACCCACGCCTGAATTTTCGTAGTAATCGTAAAGAAGGAGTTGGTGCACTGAAAAGGCAGGATGGCACGGTAGTGGTATCAAACCCTGATAAGGCCGAAATGTTGGC